TCCTGAGCCAGTTTAGAAAAGACCATCCTGGTTGGAGATTTGATGGTTTTGTAGTCTATCATTACTTCTCAGAACTCTAGTATGGTCAGCTCCCCATTCAGGCTTTAGATGAATATGGAGTAGTCAGAGATGACCACACAAAAAATACTGGTGGAAGAGTCAGGCGGGTATGCATATGTCATGGACAGGGTGAGGTTAAATGTAGTGTGAATATGCTTTGGGTTTTAATTTGAACTTGGATAGCTATCCTAGGTGCTCAACCTATTTCCAGACTAGGTTCAACACACTAGAAATGTTTGATGTTCAGAATAAGCCCCAGAATGGACACATTACCTTGGCATTAGAGTCACCAGCCTGATTCTGTTTTCTAGACCAGGCATGGGCCAACTTGAGCCCTCAAGATCTTTGGACTTCAACTCCAACCATTCCTAACAGCCTCAGGTCCTTTCCTTCCCCCCCCCCCCCAGCACTTAAGTGGCTGAGGGGGGAAAGGAAGGGGCCTGAAGCTGTTAAGAACAGTGGGAGTTGAAGTCCAAAACACCTAGAGGGCCCAAGTTTGCCCATGCCTGACCTGGACAAAGCCATTCCATGGTGGCCTACAAAGATAATTCAAGGTATTAAATATTATAGTGCAAGAGAAACAAATCCCTCTTCACATAGTAGATAATCAAGCTACATAATTTATTATTTCTATACGTAGCAATGGGCACCAACTTGGGTCACTTTAAAAGCAGGAACAGACAGATTCATAGCTATCTTTTGCCTCCAGTAACATCATGGTGCATAGTGGTTTGAGAGCTGAATTTAAGCCATTATACCACATACTGAGGAGACCAGGATTTGATCCATGGAAACCCACTGGGGTGAGCATAAGTGAGTCACGCTCTCTCAGACTAAAGAAATCTTGCCAAGAAAATCCCGCAGTAAGTCAGAAACAATAGCAGCACATAACAACAACAGTCAGAGGCAATATGCCTCTCAATTTTGGTCAACAAGGATCACGGAAGTGCTGTACTTCCCAGATAGGAGTCATTACTCTGGACAGTTAGCTTGGTATTTTTAACCAGTTATAAAAACACAAACCAATTGCCGTTTAAAGCCTGAAAAGGTTTTGAAAAGTAACTTTCAAGTCTCCAGGATCTAGAATCCCTCGGGATAGCCAAAAGCTGTGAATCCCGAGGGATCCCATACTGACCACAAAACCCATTTTTAAACAAACACAGTTTTCAAGTTGAGAACTTTAACAACAGTGAGCAACTAAGTGGTTCTCAACCTGTCGGTCCCCAGGTGTTTTGGCCTACGATTCCCAGAAATCCCAGCCAGTTTACCAGCTGTTAGGATTTCTGGGAGTTGAAGGCCAAAACATCTGGAGACCCACAGGTTGAGAACCACCGCTGAATCCACACAATCCTAAAACCAACATTTTCTGTGGAACAACATCTGCCCTTCTTCAGCAACCGCAGCCAACAGCTGCTGTATGACTGCATCAACTTGATTTCACATGGTATGTATTAGCAAATAATGTCAACTGGATAATGGGACTTGTAAATGATTGCTGTGGGAAACCCCATGGATACATTGGGGTTTTCTGCAGAAAATGTGTAATGTGGGAAAAGTAACCATGTTGTGTGTGCCTTTGAATACTTTATCCTTGTGGTTGACATCTAGCATTGTTACTGCCAAAGCAGAATAAAGTTACATTGCGATCTATCAGAATTTCCCAGCTAACTTACTGCCTAACTGGGGAATTTAGGGAACTGTAATTCAAAATGGTAACCCTTGAGCTCTCTGAGGAAACCATAACATTCCCAGCTACTTTTATTTCCTCAAAAAATAAAACTGCAATTGTTCTTTACTCATCTGACAAAACTTCCAAGTCCCTTTCACACTAGTCATTGTTCAGTTTTTCTTTTACTAATGTTGTTTGTACATTTTTAAAAAGTATTATCTTTTAACTTCGTGTGTTGTGCATATATACTCTTTCAGCAACCTTGATGGTGTCCCTTGTTGTCATTCTTTCTATTCCAGAACCTTGAAAGCTGTTCGCTTCCTCGGCTGTTTTGCAACTTCACCATAGAGCTTCAATGTTATCTCTGTTATTTGCATTTTGAGCATTTGGCCAAGGATAGAAGTTGGCTGAGGGCAGCCTTTGGTAGCCTGGTATTGGCTTCAGATCTGAGGAGTTCCAACTCCCACAATGCTGTGCTTGCTGGGGATGCTGCGACTTGCAGCTCAACACATCTGGATGTAAAATCTGCTTTAGAGACCCAAGATGTTGGGTTTATTTGCTACATGCTTGTGTTTAACTTCCAAAATAGCACATTGGTATTTACACTTCATTCATTTCTGAAAATACAATATATGGCTGGCATTTGATGGGATAAATATGGGAAAGCCATAACCGTATGCAGGAATATATAGGGGACACACTAGAAAATCTGAGACTCCCCAGCACATATTTAGGGATGATGTTTCCACAATAACTTTTCAGTAGATACAGGACTGTCTCTGCCATTAGGCAGAGTGAGGCAGTCACCTTAAGAAGCAAGTTAAAACACTTTAAAACATGGCTTTTAAAACAAGCATGATTTAACCATGATGAGTATTTTTATTATTAAGCTCAAGGACCTAGTGATTTGCTTCACTTCAGCACTTTATGGGGCCGATATTGTATACAACTTGCTTATATCCGCAGCCGTTACTGTGTTTTACTGAATTTTTAAATTAGTGGGCCTTTTATATGTTGTTTTATGTAATTTGCTATGTAAACTTATTTTGTGATCTGTCTATATTTATGCATTTGGCTTTATTTTGTAGATTGTTGCATTACTGAGTGCTTTCTGTGAGCTACCCCGAGTCTCTTCAGGGAGATGGTGGAGGGATACAAATAAAGTTGTTGTTGTTGTTATCATTTGATACATAACAAGATGAGTACACAGCAAACAAGATCACTGTGCTGACTTTTCTATTTGATCACATGTTGGACTAGTGTCTAGGGATGTGTGATGTAGGGTGGCCTTTTGCAGCTAACAGATGGTAATTTTGTCAGCGCCAATTGTTTTTAAGTGCTGGCCAAGGTTTCTAGACACTGCACCCAGTGTGCCAATCACCACTGGGACCACCTTTACTGGCTTGTGTCAGAGTCTTTGCAGTTCTAGCTTTAACTCTTCATATCGTGTAAGCTTTTCCAGTTGCTTCTCGTCAATTCTGTTGTCACCTGGGATTGCAACATTGATGATGAGGATGATGATGATGATGATTACTATTATTATTATTATTATTGCCAGTCTAAAATCAATTGATGAAAGGTCGACACATCTATCTATCTATCAATCGATCAAGGTTTTTTATTCCTAACTTATATTTACTTAAAGAAAATAAAAGAGGAAAATGGGTCAAGAAAAAGAAAAAAAACATGGCACCACTCCCCCCCCCCCCCCCCCCCCCCCCCCCCCCCCCTTTTATTCCTTTTTATGCATCTAAATTTACATATGTGAATGGACTGAAAATTGCATGATTTCCTTGCAGGGAGGCTGAAAGATAAAATACTGTTGATACCTATGCAAAATAGTGATCACTTTTGCTAACAAATAGCAACTTTGTTTCCTTAATCTTTAGTTACTTCCCAGGTCCTACAATACCTCTATTTCTTTTATTGTGGCTGTTTGGTTAAAAGGGAGATCATTAATCAGCCAAGTCTAGTTTGGCAACTCAGGCATATGCTTGGCTCAGAAAAGCAGAGCATTAAAAATCTATCAGGTTTCTTGTGGTTAGTGAACATGATCAACAATTAAGGCAGCTAATAATAATACAGTAGAGCTATCCATTTTATTAGATGACAAAACAAAATATTTATTTGAAATTTAAAAAATTATTTTGCACTCATTCACCTCCCTTCTATATCAGTTACTACCATAAGCTGTTACTATACTCCCAACTCAAGAATGGGAAATGTAATGTCAGTAGACAGGAAAAGAGATTTAAAGACGGGCTGAAAGCCAACTTTAAAAACTGTGGCATGGACACTGAGAACTGGGAAGCCCTTGCCCTTGAGCACTCTAATTGGAGGTCAGCTGTGATCAGCAGTGCTGCAGAATTCGAAGAGGCACAAATGGAGGGTGAAAGGGTGAAATGTGCCACCTGGAAACCGATGTCCTCATTGCAGGAGAACATGTGGATCAAGAATAGGGCTCCACAGCCACCTATGGACCTATACCCAATACTCTACACTTGGAGGGCCATCATCCTCGGGCTATGAGGGATCACCTAAGTAAGTAAGTATATCAGCAAAGGGAGGTATTCCATTAATACAGCAACAATATACTGCTATATTAGTCTTCCTTTTACATCATAGTCTGGTAAGGAAGAGGATAAGGTTTAATAGCTGCTCCCAAGTTGTGGAATTTCTCTCCATGGCTCCTTCTCTAGTCTCTTTTTCACCAGTATTGTAACTTTTTGATCATCAGAATTTTTATTCACCTTGTTTTAGACTTGTAAGCCTCCCTTGTGTCCCATATTGGGAGAAAAGTGGGATTTTTTAAAAAAAGGAATTTATTAATAAATATAATAATGATTCTATATTTTGAAACTCCCCATATGTGTAGTTCCTAGATTTAGAAGGTTTTGCCTCATATAACAATGTGTGCTGCCCAAGGAAACTTGCTTAGCTTGTGGAGCACTGCACCCTGGATCAAGGCCAATACTGACTATCCTGCAGAACACAACACAATAGTACGACACAATATAAATAAGAAAAAAGTCCTCTGTATTTACATCTATATATCTATATATCTCCCCAAAGATGTTTGCGGAGTGCTTTCATTTTACATTGTGTTTGCATTTATAGGCAATTTCCTGTGAAATTCTTACTCCAGTATCAGCTAACAAACCGAAAAGTTTATTTTGATTACTGTTCTACTAGATAAGATAAAAGAAATTGAGATAACAGACATTGCGGAAATCTATGTGTGTACAATTATGGATACAGTTTTATCACTTACCCCTGAGGCCGTGGGTTGTGCGCTTGGGGAAGCATTTTTTCTACAGTCATCTGAGTTCGTAGAAGACGTGGAAGTTGGAGTCATAGGAACAGCATTACTGGTATTATTACCTGCAATTGAAGCACAGCCAGTTAGAACCGTGTGTTCTCAAGGTGGCCAAATCTCTGCCCTTCCACCAACTCTCCTTATATTTACCCGAGCAAGATTTTATCTTAGACAGGTTCTTTGGTTTGCGTTTCCTGGTTTGAATTCCCTCCTTTTTCATGGCAAGGGGCCGAGGGACCTAAAGGGGAAAAATAAAAACATATATATAAGCTTTATTTATACCCTGCCACCATCTCCCCAAAGGGGACTCAGGGTGGCTAACATGAGGCCAAGCCTGAAGATACAACACAGCAAAATGAAATACATAAGCAACAATTAAAAATCAGAAACTGTCTCCCTTTAAAGGTAAAGGTTTCTCCTGACATTAACTCTAGTTGTGTCCAACTAGACTTAATCCTGGCCAAAGAGCCAGCATTGTCCATAGGCACTTCCAAGATCATGTGGACAGCATGACTGCATGGAGCACCGTTGCCTTCCTGCAGAAGCAGTACCTATTGATCTACTCATATTTGCATGTTTTCAAACTGCTAGGTTGGCAGAAGCTGGGCCTAACTGTGCGAGTTCACCCCGCTCCCCGGATTCGAACTGCCAACCTTTCGGTCAGCAAGTTCAGCAGCTCAGTTGTTTAACCCACTGCACCACCAGGCTTTAGACACTTTTCCTTTAGGAATTTTATTTGTTTACATTAAAGCCATCTCACTATAAGCCAAAATGTGTTACATACCCTCTCACATATCACAGATTAAAACTACAAGTGCAGTAAAGCCACATCTGAGTGTGGTCAAGATGGCAAAAATTATTAATGAAGAGCAAGTTGCTAATGGGAAACACGCAAATGTGGAGAAGCTGCAGAAATGTGCTTCTGCTTGAGTCTACTCACAAGAGCAAGATTTTGTCCCCTTCTCTACTCTGAACTCTGCCCATCACACTAGAGAAAAAATCCACTTAAATTCTTCCTCCTGTAGAATTCTGGAGTTTGTAGTTTAGTGAGGCTGTTAAAGGATCCTCTCTAAACTACAAACCTCAGAATTCTGTAGGAGTCAGACACCGGATTTTAAGTGGATTTGAACTCAGTTTGCAGCCACTGAAGTAAGGTGAGGACAAAAGGGAGAAATGACAGGAGGAGAGCAAAACTGGAACATTGTGAAAACAGCTGAAAAACTGGGATGATAGAGGATTGATTTGGACAGTCCTTTCCATATCTGAAAAGTTGTAAGTGTACGTTAAGCCAAGGGATCCAACCCCATCCCCTGGGATTCAGACGGAGCAGGAGGCAATTCTAATCCAGGGGTATCAGTTGCAGCAAGGCAAATCACTTTGGGTGATAATCTATTGCCAGGCATGTTTCTGCCATCAGTAATTCCCAGGCTGAGACATTTCTGGATGCAAAACATCATCCATAGCACACACACTCAAACACACATATGCCAAATTATGCCCGAGGCTGGTTCAGCTATTTCCCTGCCTTGATTTAAGTAGCAGGTTTTTAGCAAAATGATCCACTGGGCAGAAAAGATAAACAACTGAACCCTCCTCATGTCTTACTTAATCAGTGTAGAGCATTTACATTGTAAAACGAATGTAGTTTGATACCACTTTTAACTGCTATGGCTTAACACTATGGAATCATGGGAGATGGAGTTTTACAAAGTCTTTTGCACTCTCCACCAATGAGGACTATTTCCTCACCAAATTGCAAATACCAGGATTCTATAGCAATGAGCCATTGGGAGCGAGGGGAGTCAAACTGCATTAATTCCACAGTGCAGATGAACTCACAGACACTCATACACTATTTCTTATGTAGCCACCACTTGCACAAGATTTCACTTTTGTTATTCCAGTCAGTAAAAGTTATTGATTACTTCTTTATTTAACTGGCATGTTAAATAAAGGATTGGTGATATCATGCAGTGTTATTGATTTTGCAGCTGATGATATCTTTTTCTGTCCTTCAGCAGGTGGATTCCCTCCATGGTGTTTCTCTCGGTCTTGTTCTCTCTCACGAGTAAAACAAGGTGTGGGTCTTCTCTTGTGTGAAACATAACACACATTCCTTCCAGAGCATGGCCACAGCGAAGAGTGCTCCTCAAGCATGGGCCAAGCAAGCACCAAAATAACTCCTGATGGTACTGAAATAGCTGCTTACCCCATGAAGTTTCATGTACAATCCACAGGCGTTGCACACGGGCTCTCCTTCTGCGTTCCTGCGCCAGAGGGTAGTGGTTGTAGTTTGACAGTTGGCACAGGACAGACCCAGTCGTCGCTGAGAAGGCTAGAGGCAAGAAGGAGAAAAGGCAAAAACACTCAGAGGAATATAAGGGCAGAATGTGTGAATAGTCTGCATATCCCCAGCCAAACTAAGAAGCTCTGGGAAACGCCTATGCCAGCATACTAGGAAGGAAGGAAGGAAGGAAGGAAGGAAGGAAGGAAGGAAGGAAGGAAGGAAGGAAGGAAGGAAGGAAGGAAGGAAGGAAGGAGAAGATATGGCATCTCAGAAGCATGTCAGAATAAAAGCTGAAATTTCTAGTAGATTTCTCACATAGTGCATTCATTTGGCCTATGGCATTTTAAATCCACCATGTCATAACAACAACAACAACAACAACAACAACAACAACTTTATTTTTATACACACACCCCCTCCATCTCCTCCAAGGGACTCGAGTTGGCTTACAAAGAGACAAGGCCAGAGATCAGAGAGTTAAAACATAATGCAATAAAATAAAAACAAAACAAAAACAAATGGAAATATATCACAATCTGTCATTCATAACAGATGATACCGATTCATTTGCTTATGTGACATAGCATGCTTCAGAACACTGGGTCAGGTTTACATTTTCCACCCCCTTATGGGAAAGAAACGACGACATGGATTTACTTTCTCAATGGCATCTAAACACAATTTCGTTTGGGATTGAACCTGCCGTGATACATATTATCTAAGGACTTTGAGGAAGATGCTTTTGAATCTGGATTAATATCCTTCCCCTCAGGCATCTGATTTACTAGCATACTAATATTTATAACTCTCAATGCCAAGAACTAACAACATTGAAAGGGTAGAATTGCTCCATGGTGCATTAAGATAAAGAATCCCTGCTTCAGAATCATTCTTCATCCCAAAGAGTCTGTCTGGTGCTCCCCGCCCAATTGCTTTGGATTCATCTGAATATACGGATCCGTAGTGGCACAATGTGTTAAACCAGTGGTTCTCAACTTGTGGGTCCCCAGATGTGTTGGCCTACAACTCCCAGAAATCCTAACAGCTGGTAAACTGGCTCGAATTTTTGGGAGTTGTGGGCCAAAACACCTGGGGATTAACAGGTTGAGAACCATTGAGTTAAACACTTGTGTCGGTTGAACTGCTAATCTGAAGGTCGGTGGTTCAAATCTGCAAGACGGGCTGAGCTCCCATTTGTCAGCTCTAGCTTCCCATGCGGGGACATCAAAGAAGCCTCCCACAGAATGGTAACATCCGGGCATCCCCTTTGCAAGGTCTCTGCAGATAGCCAATTCTCTCACACCAGAAGCAACTTGCAGTTTCTCAAGTCGCTTCTGACACAATAAAAAAATCTGAATATATAAAAGCCACTCCATTCATTTCCTGGGAATTATGTGGACAAACAGTTCCAAGATACCATTGCAAAACTGAGCTTTCACAGGGTTGGGGGTGTTCTCTAAACCCCCAGAAAGGTTCATATTATAAACAAGTTATTTATGACACTTCAGCAGAGTTTGGAGCCAAGATGAGGCAACATTACACCAGAAATAATGGTACAACAAAGGGCTTTACAACAGCAGCCCATAGATCATAAGTGAAGTCAGTCCCCATAAAGATGTGAAGTGAAGGTGAAGAGGTTATAAAATTCCCTGCAACAACCAATCTCTTTTACACTAATCACAGGCAACGAATATCAGCTACATCATAAATTTGCTGATTTGCACATGTATTACAGCTTTTAAAAAAATACAGGGATCAGTGATTAGCTATCACTTTACAAATGTTGACACATTTGCACAGAACAAAAAACCAATTGGTTCCAGAGAGCTGTATTCCTCTCGCCCAAGACTGTAATGTTTAGCAAACATACATTGGTTCAGGTTCCACCCTGCAAAATCATTTGCTGTATTCCTAGGAATCGTTCTTGACAACTAAGCTCCTTTGAGACAACTGACCCAAACAAATAGTGCTTGCCAGTATTGTTTTAATATCTAAATATAGTGTTTGTTTTATTTTTCCCCTCATTTAATTAGGAGTGCACATTTTATAACAAAAATGTTATGTTCTCAGCAAAACATATATTAGCATGATCTTTGACTCAAGCAGCACTGGAAAAAATAGTCAATTTGGCTCTAATTCTATGCTCACACTCAGCAAGACTTATACTGTACATAGAAGTGTCCTAACAAAGATGTCTTAACAGCATGGTTTCAGTAGAATTCACATCAACAGTAAAATCACCTAGGAGCATATTGTCCAAACTGAGATATGCATTATCAACCCCCCATGAAAACTGTTTGGATATTTCGTTGTTCTTAACTGCCATCTAGTCAACTTGATTTTCTCCAGAAGACATTTATTTGCATTTTTAGCAGTCCACGGTATCAGTAGAACTCTTATCCAGCACACTTCAGATGAATTTATTTTTTATCCTATCCATTTTCATTGTCCAGCTATAACAATATATGTAATCTAGTCAAGGGTTTCAGGACTCATTCAAACCATTTCAGCCTTCAATTTCCCATTCAAATTTTGGGAAAAAATAATACTATGTTGTCAAAGGCTTTCGTGGCTGGAATCACTGGGTTGCTATGAATTTTCCAGGCTGTATGGCCATGTTTAAGATTGTCCGGGGAGGCCCTGCTCTCGGTCCCACCTGCTTCGCAGGTGCACCTGATGGGAACGAGAGACAGTGCCTTCTTGGTGATGGCCCCTCAGCTGTGCAACTTCCTCCATGGCAATGTTACATCAGCCCCCTCCCTCCTGACCTTCAGAAAGACCGTAAAAACGTGGATCTGGGATCAAGACTTCAGAGAAGAACCATAGTGCAATAGATTAATTGGAATTGTGTGCAATGACTATCGGAATGACTTGGACTAAGATTGTGGATTGCGTGGTTTATAGTGATAGTAAGGTTTTATAATGTTTTAATGTATTTAATTTTAATTTTGATTTTTAATTTTAATGTATTTTAATTGTATACTGTGTTAAGGCATTGAATTTTTGCATATCTGTTAGCGGCCTTGAGTCCCCTTCGGGGTAGAAGAAGGTGGGATATAAATATCATAAATAAATAAATAAATGTTTCAGAAGCATTTTCTCCTGATGTTTTGCCCACATCTATGGCAGGCATTCTCAGAACTCAGAACCTCTGAATATGCCTGCCAAAGTTGTGAGTGAAACATCAGGAGAGAATGCTTCTAGAATAGGGCCATACAGCTTGGGAAAACTCACAGCAATCCCAAAATAATAATGTTTGTGTTGTGCTAATATGTGTTTTCTAGTTTTTTCCCACCCTCAGCACTCCATTTGTTTACCCTAATTTTAGAAATGTGAAGCAAAGCATTAACTGTCTCACCAGTTTATTTGAATTTTACAAACATGAAAAGACTACAGCATGATCGATTTGAAGACTAGGCAGGCAGATAGGGAAGGGTTACAAGGTAACAAAGCCCTCCATTCCCTTTATTTCTCCTAATTAGATTTCATTCTATTTCATGAAATAAGAGGTAAGTAGTCATTGTGACTCCAGCAAAGGATCACCGCCTTGTCGGGGCGCTGGAGCTTGAGCACCTCAATGATGTCATGAGCGAACCCGTGAAGGGCCACCCAAGACGGGACGGTTGTGGCAGAGAGGTCAGACCAAGCGTGATCCCTGGGAAGGCAATGGCAAACCACTCCAGTATCCTTGCCAAGAAAACTAAATGGACCAGTACAACCAGAGATATGTCGGTATGCCATTGGAAGATGGGACTCCCAGGTCGGAAGATGGCCAAAATGCTACTGGGGAGGAGCAGAGGATAAGTTCAACTAGCCCCAGATGTGATGACGCAGCTAGCTCAAGCCGAAAGGAAGGCTAGCGGCCGACGGTACTGGAGGTGAACGACGAATCCGATGCTCTAAAGATCAACACACCATAGGAACCTGGAATGTAAGATCTATGAGCCAGGGCAAATTGGATGTTGTTATTGGGGAGATGTCAAGACTAAAGATAGACATTCTGGGGGTCAGCGAACTGAAATGGACTGGAATGGGCCACTTCACATCAGATGACCACCAGATCTACTACTGCGGACAAGCGGAACATAGAAGAAATGGAGTAGCCTTCATAATTAATAAGAAATTCGCTAAAGCGGTGCTTGGATACAACCCAAAAAATGACAGAATGATCTCAATTCGAGTGCAAGGAAAGCCTTTCAACCTTACAGTGATCCAAATATACGCCCCAACCACAGCTGCTGAAGAAGCAGAAGTAGATCAGTTCTATGAGGATCTGCAGGACCTACTGGATAATACACCAAAAAGAGACATTATTTTCATTACAGGAGACTGGAATGCCAAGGTGGGAAGTCAAATGACAACTGGGAACACAGGCAAGCATGGTCTGGGAGAACAAAATGAAGCGGGACGCAGGCTGATAGAATTTTGCCAGGAAAACTCACTGTGTATAACGAATACTCTCTTCCAACAACCAAAAGACGGCTTTATACATGGACCTCACCAGATGGTCAACACCGAAATCAGATTGACTACATCCTTTGCAGCCAAAGGTGGCGGACATCCATCCAGTCGGTGAAAACAAGACCTGGGGCTGACTGTAGCTCAGATCACGAACTTCTTATTGCTCAATTAGAATAAAACTAAAGAGATCAGGGAAAATACACAGACCAGTTAGATATGATCTCACTAACATTCCTAGCGAATATACAGTGGAAGTGAAGATCAGATTTGAAGGACTAGATTTAGTAAACAGAGTCCCAGAAGAACTATGGACAGAAGTCCGAGACATTGTTCAGGAGGCGGCAACAAAGTACGTCCCAAAGACAAAGAAAACCAAGAAGGCAAAATGGTTGTCTGCTGAGACACTGGAAGTAGCCCAAGAAAGGAGGAAAGCAAAAGGAAACAGGGATAAGGGGAGATATGTCCAGTTAAATGCGCAATTCCAGAGGTTAGCCAGAAGAGATAAGGAACTATTTTTAAATAAGCAATGCATGGAAGTGGAAGAAGACAACAGAATAGGAAGGACAAGAGACCTCTTCCAGAAAATT